ACTTCGTCGCCATGGAGACAAGTAAGAAGGATGCTTGATTCGGTCCATCGGCATAATACACCTTCCACGATTATGTACTTGGCACTGCAGGCACGAATCCGCCGAGCTGCCCACTTCTCTGATGGTAGCTCGCCAATTTCAAGAAAACATCGGATCTCGACTCGCCAATCTGCTGCTGACTGGTTGTCAGTGGTTGCTATAGGAACGGTTTCGTCCTCGTCGGCTGTGATTTGGAGAACTTCCTGGGTCGGGACTATGCTGGGTTGGGAGATCCCTTGAACTGGAATAGTTCTCCGAAGGGCTGATTCTCTGTTCGATGCTATAACAGCTAGAGCGTCGGCGCTAGTGTTCGTGGACCGAGATATGAATCTGTTCAGCGCGGCTAACCTTCCAGTTAGGCGCTGGACTTCGCAAGTATTTCTTGGCGAGGGTAGCTCTAGGATCGCAGAGATATGCTTAGGATTGGCTTCGATGCCGCGCTGAGTAACCAAGTATCCTAGGAATTCACCGGATGTGACTGCGAAGGTGTATTTTGTGGGATTGAACTTCATGCCATACTCGTTCAGTATGAGAAAGCAGATGGACAATATGGTCGGCTGCTTTAGACGATATGACTAGCATATCGTCTATATACACCTCCATCGTCTTCCCGAGCTGATTGGCGAACATCTTGTTGACGAGGCGCTGATAGGTGGCTCCAGTGTTCTTCAAACCAAACGGCATGACTTTGTAGCAATAGGTTCCTCGATATGTGTTGAATGCAGTCTTCTCACTATCATCCGGATTCATGAGAATCTGGTTGTATCCTGAGAATGCGTCCATGAAGGAGAGTAGTTCATTGCCCACGGTAGCCTCGACGAGCTGATCAATGCGAGGGAGAGGAAAACTGTCATTCGGGCAAGCTTTGTTGAGGTCTGTGAAATCCACACAGACTCGCCACTTCCCGTTCTTCTTCTTGACTACCACCGGGTTGGCGAGCCACTCCGGATACTTGACTTCGGCGATTGATCTGGCCTTCAGCAGCTTATCTACTTTATCGTGGATGGCTTGTGCCCGCTCAGATCCTAACTTTCGTCGCTTCTGTTTGATCGGCTTGAAAGTGGGGTCGACGTTCAACTCGTGATTCGTGATTTGAGTGCTAATTCCCTTCATATCAGCCATAGACCACACGAACATTACAACATTCTCCCGGAGAAAACTGATCAGCTCGTCCTGCATGCCTAGCAACAGTCCTGTGCCGATGCCGACGCAACGTTCCGGGTGAGGAGCGTCAATGTTGAATTGGACAATGAGATCGCTCTTCGGCTTCTCGTGGTGAATTATCCGTGGATCGAAGTCAGTACTGCTGCCGATCACGAACATCGATGTCTTGCGAGCGTGCATATTATCAACGTAACAATGCCGAGACACTGTCTTATCACCACGAATGGTGATGACACGGCCCCTGATCGGCATTTTGATGCATTAGTGATAAGGAGATGGGACGGCCTGCATGGCGTTCAGCCAGGATGTTCCAAGGATGGTATTATAGATTGCAGGTCGGTCGATGACCTCGAACGTGACCGTAATAGACTTCCCTCGTATGGTGATGGGCATCGTTATAGTTCCTGTCGTGGAGATTAAATCTCCAGCAAACCCGGTGAGGGGTGATGGTGCGACTTTGATGTCCCACTCGGGGATGCTCATCTTGCGCAGAGTATCCATGAAAATGAAGTCGACCGAACTTCCTGTGTCGATCAGTACCTTCGAGACGTCGTCTTCTCCGAGTCGCAGTGAGATGACGAGTAGATCGTTATGGGGGCAGTCTATGTTCTGTGTGTCTTGCTCAGTAAATGTGATTGGTAGGTCGTCTTTGAATAGCGGTGGGGCGTTCTTTGTGGGGTTGGCTGCCTTTCGCTCGTGTCGTTTAATCGAATTGATCGAGTCAGTGCACGAGAGGAGCCCTCCCATGATCATGTTAATCTGTCGGCATGGTGAGGTCGGGGGTGTGTGATCGTCTTCACGGTCACACTTTGCTTCCTTTCCTTTTCGTTTAGAAGATGGACGATCAGCACCGGATCTCCTATCTCGATCGCTGTCAGGTCGTCTGTCCTGATCATCATCGGATTGCTGCGCTTAGCTCCGAGGCTCTAGTATGCTGCACTCACCAGCTTCCCAAGCCTTCCGCAAGAGGGCCGGAAGAGTACGGCAATCATCGGTGTGATGGTCGTGCACCTTATGGTACTTGCACCACGGCTTCTTACTATATGGGTCTCTGTTGCTCGAACGGTCCCAAATGTTCCACCTCTTTGGTCGTCCAACGGCGTTGATACTCTTACGACTCTTGTCATCCTTGTCGTAGTGCTGACGAGGCTCTTTGTAGTCATCCTGATGCGACGATCTGGGTCTTTTGTCGCGTAAATATTTCTCATCGGCCAACTTGGCCTTGGCCTTGGCTGCCCGATCTTCTTCAACCCTGATATAGCCGGTGGCCTTATGCAACGCATCTTCTAGGGTTTTGGTATTTCCTGTTTTCAATCGCTCGCAGTATGACTGATCGTCTCTCAAGTTCCTGATGAGGATGTTGAGGGACAGCTCGTCCGATAAGCTGCATCGGGAAACCACCGACTGGAACCGATCAATGAAGTCGCGCAACGGCTCCGTGTCGCCCTGGACGCACACCCATATATCAAGCGCCATGTCGATGTAGATCGAATAATACTTGAGGAATTGAGCTGTGAGCTCCTTGTAGCTGTCGATGGAATTTTTGGGAAGCTGTGAGAACCAGGTGAGGGCGCTGCCGGAGAGCGTCTCCACAAAATACTGACGGAGGCATGCGTCCCGTTCCTCGTCGGTGAAGCGAGCTCGTCCCATGACTGCGTTGAACGCGGTCAAGTGTCGCTTTGGATCTGTCGTGTCAGTGTAACTTGGGGGTAGCTTCATCCGGCTAATGTCTTTGAGTGGAGCCTTGGTGATAGCCGACGTGAACGGGGTCTGCTGTGTTTTTTGGAGGATCTTGTCTAGCTCTGGGGCTGATGTCGTCGCCTTATGGATCTTGCTGTTGATATCGTCAAGGCGTTGATGGATAAGATCAAGCTCCGAGACTGTGGTCAGGTCGGCACACGTGGTGTTACGGGAAGAGCGAGCGTTGGAGCCTTTCGTCTGCGCTCTCTGCAGGTCGTCTGTCGGTGTGGTGCCGAACAGGTTATTGACCAGTCTGGTCGTATCTGTGTTGCGGATCGCCAGGCGCGGAGGCGTGATCAGATCGGCCGGCTCTTGGGTATGAACCCTAGCGTTGAGAAGCCGATCTAGGCTTCTCGGTAGGCGATCTGTTCGGCGCGGAGGTATTTGAAGCGGGCATCCATGCCCTGTTGGGACTGTTCGGCAACCGATCTAATGATAATAGCCATATCCATGGGAGGTGGCTGTGGCAGGTCGGCCGGGTTTGTGTCATCGGTGTGGCCGACCTGGCCTGTTCTATGGGCGTTTTGTGCAGCCGTGTCGTCGATCTGAATGTTGGTTTGATCACCTGTCGGGAGTCCGGTAATCGGATCAACGATCAGGCCCTGGGTGTTTCTGGTGGGATCGGAAGCTCCCCATGTGAGATCAGTGGATCCTCCGGTGAGATCGGTGGCTCCCGTGGTAAGGTTAGTATCGGGGTTGATCAGTGTTCCAACCATCTTCAAGCTCTGTTCTCTTATTCCCCTCAGACGGCGTCAACTGTAAAAACTCAAGTTCGATCTATAAAGAACTAGGGTTTGTGGGTTTAAAAAGAGATCTTTTTATTAGAATGAGCCGGAGCTTGATAGAATACACGATGGTTTAGGTCGTCGGAATAAGAACGCCGACCTAAACTTTAGGAAAGTAAATCGAGAGCTAGAACAACAAGATTTGCTTAGTTTGCCCTAGGTCTCTCGAGAGGATTCTCAGATGCATCTGAGAAGTCGAGGACTTCCCATATTTATAGCTGATCAGGTCGGTCTTCGATGTGTGTTTAGAATAGGAAAGTCTTCTTGCCGACAAGAAGGAACTTCCTTTTTTTCCGGGTTCGCTCGAGAAATGGAAGGTTTCCATTTAATTAGACGACATGAACCTTGTTAGATGAGCCGACCAGAATTCATATCGGACTTATAGAGATGGTGCGAATCTCATCTCTAACAATTAGAACTTTTTTTTATTTGTTCTGATTGATTTTTGAAAAAAAAAAATATTATTTTTAATTATTCTGATGTATTTATAAGAATATTTTTAATAAATAATTAGTAAACATAATTTCTAATAAAAAGTAGTAAACATTATTAAAATATTATATATTTTGTTATAAATTTGAAAAAAATAAAATATTATTTTTAAATTTTCAGTTTTTTTATAAGAATATTTGTTTATTAATAATCAATAAAAAAATTTTAAAATAGTAAACATTAAAAAATATTATATATTTTGCTATGAATGATAAAAATAATAAAAATTAAAAATAAATTATATAATAAATTTCTTGTATATTATAATTAGCATTAAATAAAATTTATTTTACTAAATTATTATATTTTGTTATGAATAAAAATATAGTTTATTTAATTCTAAACCAATAAATATTATTTTTAATTAATTATTAATAAATAATTTATTTAGTTCCAAACCGATAAATTTATAATTCTATAAATTAATAAATATTAAAATCACAATATTATTAATTTATATAATTTTTACAGTAATTAAATATATTGATTTAAAGCCGACAAACTACAATTTATTTTAATTACAGATTCCTCTTGAAACTATACAAAACAGTCTTAACTACAGCTGTTTTAAAGTACATAATACAAATACTTTATTTGAGAGTAGTTGACTTTATGAAATTGTTCTTACAACTCTTACCCATTTCAATGATAAATAAAATTAGAACTATTGAGGGATACTACAAAAGATAAACTTTCAAAGATTTATGATCTGAAGCTTTTTTACTTACATACAATCTTCTTTGCTTCTTTGTTTTCTCGCTCCTTCTAAACAAAATTCATATGGAAAACCCGCAGAAACACTCACGAATATGGCCAAGCCTAGCTAAACACATATGCCGCCTCTCTGATCCCGTTAAGACGCACGAGCTTCGCTCGATGCTAGATGTTCATCCACTTTCCATGTGCTACGGGTGCAAAGGCACACATGTGGAGGGCAAAAGGTACTATTACTATTGTGATAAATGCGATCTTCAATTCCATAGAGGCTGTCACATTTTTCCGTTGGAGATGAAACACCCTCTTCACCCCTCTCACCCTCTCACCCTGATCTCATTAGATCCTGATATTGAGATTTCTAAAATAGCATATAATTACATTGACATTTTGTCTGATAGTGATAATGAATTCGATGATGATGATGATCCTGAAGCTTCCCCATCATATATGCATCATGATAAATGTAAATGTTGTCAGAAGCCTTTTGAAAAGGCATATTATCATTGTTCTCTCTGCAACTTCAGTCTCAATTTCACTTGTACCATAAGGCCACCACCTCTTAGTATCCTACACCCAAAGAGCCACGACCACACTCTTACTCTCTTTTCTAGACGAATCCCTTTGCCATGTGATGCTTGTGGGTTGTCTCTTAAAAGCATCCATGATGTTTACGCTTGTCTTCCTTGTAACTATATGGTCCATAGAAGTTGTATAACCCTACCTCGTGTCATTAGGATTACCCGCCATCAACACCGTCTCTATTTCATTTCTTCTTTTCCTTCTGGTGATTTTTCTTGCGGAGTTTGTCGCCTCACCATCGATGTCAGTTGCGGACACTATTCTTGCGATAAAGGATGTCATTATGCGGTCCATTCTAAATGTGCAACAAGAAAAGACGTGTGGGACGGCATAGATCTCCAAGAAGTGCCTGAAGAGCCAGAAGAAGATATTGAGCCATTCGTGAGGATTGATGAAGAGACAATACAACATTTTACTCATGACCATTACCTAAAACTCCATGGGAAGGGTAGCCTTCGTGGTAAAAAGAAGTTTTGTGAGGCTTGCTGCTTCCCAATATCAGTCTCTGATGCTTTATATGCCTGTATGCAGTGTGACTTTGTTCTGCACGAGGCATGTGCATGTCTTCTACGCGTAAAACATCACCCGCTACATAAACACCGACTTATCCTCCACCAGTCCCTTTCCCCAGCCACCTGGCCTGGGAATAATTATGTGGTTAAATCGCTATTTGAGTGCAATGGTTGTCGCCGAAGAGATACTGGTTTTGTGTACCGATGCGACGAAAAGGGTTCAGGGTTGTAGATTTCAGCTAGACGTCAGGTGTGCTTCCCTCTCAGATGATCTAATCCATGGGAGCCATGACCATACGCTCTACATTAATTTGACCAAAGGAAAATGCATGGGATGTAAGTCTACTTCTTGTTCTGGTCAGTACCTAGAATGTATAAAATGCAAGTCGTTTTTGGGTCTTCATTGTGCTACTTTGCCAAGTGTAGCTTACTACAAGCATGATAGCCACCCACTCACTCTTTGTTACGGCTAAACAGATACAACAAGTGGTCAATACTGGTGTGAACTATGTGAATCAAAGTTAGATGCAAGTGAGTGGTTCTATACATGTGAATCTTGTAGAGTCACTCTTCACGTTACATGTTTATTGGGAATGGATATGTACATGAAACCCCAACATATCTTCAGAAGAGGAGGTAAAATGGTTGAAGTTGTTCACAATGATGGTAGCACTAGACCATCGTGTTATCAATGTTCTGAACGTTGCACAGACACCATAATATTCAAGTGTCCAGATGTATTTATATGTACTTTTTCTTGTGTTGTGACATTTATGCGTTAATCTTGTAATTTGATTTTTTTTTTTAATGTGTAATTCCCATGATTTCATATTTGGGTATGTGATCCCAAAACTTTGTGTTGAATCTTGCTTTATATTTGAGAAAGAAATAAATCTTTTTACGATGTTCATGGCGACCACTTAATGAGGTCATCCTAGTACAAGGCACCCAGTCTCTCTTACAGAGCCGGTTCTGATAATTATCGGATGGATTGCCAGCAAAAATTTGTTTTTACTTATTATAATAATTACAAAAATCAAATGCATATGTCAAAATTGTACTTGTAACTGATACTACAAGAGCCAAAGGATGTTTCCTTGAAAAATTGGACCCTAAAATTGGTAAAATCATTATAGCAAATGCTTGATTTTATTAAGGGTCTAAAACACTAAATCGATTAATATGTGGACATGTGACAAAATTTAGTTGAAAACTAAGTAATAGAAAAAAAAGACAATAAAAGTATCAAAGTGAATAATTTGAATGGGATCTCAATGCGAAATTAAACATTTAAATGCCCAACTTTCAAATTTCAATTATTTTAAACATTACATCTCATGTGATTCATTTAAATAACAAAAGTTTTCACTGACCGATTTTTAAATCACGAATATATGATGACTCGGTCATATTAGACATATTAGATATGAGTCAATGTCACTAACAAATTGATTAGATGCTGTTTAATTCTCATCAGTTAGTGAAGTCAAACATTATGCTCTATATGAACCATTCAACATAAATTTGTATCGATATAAAAGTTTGTTATATAAACAATCTACGCAAAACTTAATGGTTATAATAGTCAAAACTTAAAAGTTTGGCATTTAAATGGTATTTTCCCTTCTTTCTATTAATTTATTACTTCTATTTCATCAATTTATATAATTGTTAGACCAAGTAAATCAAAACTAATTAAAAAAAATATTTAAACATAAATTAGATTTACATTATACAAAAAGATTAAAAATGAAAAAAAATTGAATTTAATCTTAAAATATCAATTTAACCACATCTGATGATTCTCTAACAATGCAAATCTTACGAAAACCTAAATCTACACACATAATTTAAGATTGTGATGAATATACGACTAGTTGAGTGCAATCCATAATTAGGAAACACTAACGACTAATTGTCTGCCACTAGTGTCTCCAACTTCAGGGAAACTTTTATATTTACATAACTTAATCTTAAATATAGATTTGCTTTGCATGATGTGTATATCTTATAGATTTTTATTTATTTTCTGTATGTCTTAAAGATTTATATTTATTTTCTTTTCTTTTTTAAGAATGCCAAACATAAAAATTTGTTCTAGTTTGTTGGTGCATCATAGTAAGAATTTATTTTGGTTTGCGTTCAGTAAATAGTAAAATCTTAAATAATGGACATTCGAGTTTCAAGCTGTGTAAGAGAACTACAGTAACCTTACCATCTTGAAGTATTTGAGTTTTGTTCATAAAATCACATTGTTTAGTGAATCCTGTTTTTATATTAAGAACCTCAATAGGTTAAGTTTAAGATGCTTATTTATCAGTATTGTTAACTACAGACTTCAAAAACCTTGAGATCTTTAATTTTACATTGCAAAATTTTAAGTTTTAGATTTTCTTTCATTAAAAATAGAATTTACTGTTCAGTAAAAAATACTATTTAAATATCAAATTTTTAAATTTTCAGACAATATAAGCACCAAGTTTCGCATGAACGATTTAATAACAAACTTTGATGTTTATTATTTTTTAAATCGTGAATTTATGTTGATTGGCCATATTATGCATGACATTGACTTCACCAATAAAGAAATATTAAACCGTGTTTAGTCAATCTGTTAGTGATATTAACATTGTACCTATAATGACTGAATCAACATAAATTTGTGATTTCAAAAATTAGTTAACAAAAAAAATTATTATTTAAATGAACATACGAAAGATAATGGTTAGAATGACTAATTTGAAAGTTCGGCATTTAAATGTTTATTTTTCCGATTCTCAATTCAAATTTATTTTCATGAATAATTTGATTTTTTTATATTTTTATATTTTTTAAATAACGAATCATAGGATATTAAATTATTAATCTTTCGTATATGTGTGGTCTAATCTATTATTATATATAAAATATACAAATAGCTTAACCATACTTTTAATTTTTAATGATTTTTTTTATTAATTATGATCGTTTTAATGGTTATAGATGCTGTAATTTCCCTTGATTAAAATCGGATATACATTCAAAATTGGTATATAATTTTTTTTCCGATCGAGTTATTTGAAATTTGGTTTGACTTTAGGTTAATAACTTTTCGGTTTGGTTTGGGTACTTCCATCTGGTTCGGTTTCCACTCACACACGTCGTGTTGTTCTGAAAGCTGACACAAGAACTCCCTGCCGTTTACTCTTGCTCGCTTCTTTTTGGGTGGTAAGAGGCGGGAAAAGTAGATAAACCCTAAGAGAGAGCAAGAATAGGAGAGAAGGTAATTGAGAGATCGAGCGAGCGAAGGAGAATAGGAGATGAGTCATCATCATCATCATCATCATCAAGCTGTGGATAATCTGATAAATGTTTTCGCGAGAGCTTCTCATAATCTTAACGATGTCCATTTCAAACTCGACAAGGAATTTCAGCAGATTTATCCCGAAAATGTAAGCAATTTCGATCTATTTCTAGAATCTCGAATCTCGAATTCTCAAAGCTCATATGATAAAATACTTCAAAGTCAAGTTCGATGTAATCATATGGTCATGCCTGTTTTGGATTTCGAATTTCTGTTCTGGATTTGATATATTTTGTGGGTCGTAGGCGAATCCGATGAAGCTGACTCAGAGAATCAAGAAGCTGCTGGAAGATGTGACTGTCCTTAAAGACCAATGCTTAGAGCTATTGTCCGCTAAACAGGTTCTTCATTGCAACTAATTGCTTCCTTGACTCTTTCTATCTGGAAATTAGCTTTGGTTTTAGATCAATGGACCGTTAAGTAGCTATCTACATATATCTCTGTAATCTGGACATAAAGATGAGTTTTTTTCATCGATCTTATAGAAGAAAGGATAAAACTTTCTTGTAGATAGTTTGTTCTGTAGTAAAGGGTCAGAGATCTGCAAGGCTTCTGCAACATTTGATTGTTGAATTTTGTAAAACTTTGTTTGTTATAACAGGATTTGATTGACAAGGCGCAGACTACACTTGTTGGAAACTATAATCTTATTCAGAAAATGAATTCATCATTGGGAGAATCAACCAATGGCGATGCAGATGATGCATTAGCTGATTTTAATCAGGTTGGTGCTTTTTTTCTTCGTATAGCCAATTCGATACCTTAGAAACGAAATGCACATGGGCATACTGTTATGGAGTGGCTTAAGAACACTTTCTTCATTTCTTGTTTTTTTGGACAGATCATTGACGAGTGGACAATGCAAGTTCGATCGAGGACAGGTAACCAGAACAAGCCATGGATTTGCAGATTAAGCTCTTGTTTCTGTTTTAGCATTGCGTTTTTCCCCCTAAAGGATGCTACTTTGTTTTTGATACAGTGGGAGAGACAGAGGAGGCAGATAAAGAAGACATCAATAAGTTACTTTTCTCATCTATTGTTCATGGCAATTGAGTTATATTGATGTTCATAGTTATGTTCAGGGTTACACAACTTCTGCTTATAATCTAAACTGTGCTTATAGATTGTGTTTCTAAGGTCACCACATAAGTTTACAATACTTACATAAACTAATTCTGTAATGCTTAAAATTTGGGATTCATCGCTTGTAGTGGCTTAATTGTTAGCTGAAGGACGAAGCTTTCTGACTAGCCATTTCCTACGTAACGAGTTGTCCAAAGCCAAGAACGTCTTTGCTTTCCTGTCGTCTTCCAAAAGATCACAAGCATCCAACAGAAGCTCATCGTCCATGTCGGGCAAAGCTTGAAGTGCGTCAATGGCATTTCCTATTCTCGAGTAAATCTCGTTCTGAGGGAAGGGCTTTGTACAATCATCATCCTCACCTTCTTTGTCAAACAGAGGCTTCCTCGTCTCTCTCTCAGTCTTCAGAGCCTTATGTACAATGAATCCAAGAGGCGGAGTTGTTGGGTTGGTTCTGGTTCGCTTACTATGCTGCTTGTGTGGCGAACTAAAGTCATCGACTATATCAAGCTCATTGCCATAGTTCTCCAACTCGATCATGAGATTCTCACAGTTAAAGCCTTCTTGTGAGAGATGTTCGTATAGCTTGCACAAATCGCTGTAACTATCCAAGGTTTTACCTTTATATATGGTTGCATCAGGATGCTCCTGCAAAATCAGACACTACTCAGCTTAGAATGCAAAGACACAAAGCCCAAGAGCGTCATTAGATAGCCTCCTTACCTTAAAATATGCTTCCCAACATTCATCTTCTGCAACAATCGTTTGCTTCTCCTCATCCCAAGCAAAGCCACTGAGATTTAGGATGTTGTTGATGTCGTCACGCTCTTTCATCATCAATATGTAACGATTCTCCAGCATGAACATGTCAGCCTGCGATCTGAACTTGGCATTGAAGGATTCCGCCATGTCAGCCCAAGCTTGCTCTGTGAATGTCTCACCAATCTTGTTCCCTCTGTTCACCTGCTCTAGCATAAGATCTATAAGACATCTGTCCATGACCTGTGACCATTCTATACAAGGAGGACCTGTATTGCTACAGAGGTACTCATTCTTCTCGTCGCTGGCATGAACCATCTGGAAACTGTGAGTTTCTACCAGAGTATCTTTGAATCCATCTGTGCTTCCACTTTCTGAAAAGGATTCATACATATACACATTCATCACTTCTGCTTCACTAGTCTCACATATGATACAAAAGGAAAGAGAGAGCAAAACATTGCCAATATAATGAGATTAGCTTTCATCTTACCAATCATCCGCACAGTTTCTGCATCAACAGCTTGAGCCAAGCGTGTGTATCTCCCATCAGACATCTCCTTCCCGAAAATGAAGCAAAGATTTGGATAGCTCGGGATAGTTTTAACTCGATACGATCTAGCTTCTGGATGTGCCTGCACACACATTCATCTGTTTATAGCACAACAACCAAAAAATTGATATCTCAAAATAAGAAAGAATGTGGCGTGCCTGTATATAGGTATTCCAAACGTCGTCATCTGCAGTCACCATATCTCTCCTTGTATCCCATGAGAACCCGTTCTGCTCAAGAAGGAACTTTATGTCGTTGTACAACCTCCTCAAGTGTTTGTACCGGTTCTTCAGGACGTCTTTGCTGTGCTGAGACACGAACTTGGCATTGAACGCTGTAACCATTTCGTTCCAAGCACTCGTTATGAAAGTCTGACCAACTCTGTTCCCTTTGTTCACTTGTTCCACTAACAAATCAATCAGATAGTGATCCATCGGTGGAGTCCAAAACGTCCTCGTGCGGTCAGAACTATGCGCCTGGCTCGCCTTACTCTCATCTGGACAAGCAAGAGTATCATTCTTTTTAGCATCTATCACAATCCAAAAAACGTTACTGCTCCATAAGATTAAACTCACTCATTTGTGCAGACGAACCATCATCTTTGACATCTTGAAGTAGAGAGCCAAATATTATCTCCAAATCGTTGTAACTCGGTAACGATCTCATCCTATATGTTCTAGCAAATGGATGCTCCTGCCTCATCACATCTAGATTCAAACTAACGGACTGAAAAAAGATTAAAAGATTTATTCAAGAAGAGGTAAAAATAGCCCAAGAAATCCAAACCTTGACATAAGAATCCCAATCTGAATCATCCGCAACGATCATTTGCAGAGTCTCGTCCCACGAAAACCCGTCTTCTTTCGTTATAGCTTCCATGTCCTTGTAGTATTTCGACAGCTTATTGTATCTGTGCCTTATAACCCTTTTACCGTATTGAGCACTAAACCTACCATTGAACAAAGCTAACATATCTGTCCAGGCTTGCTTACTGAATGCATGACCGGTCTTGTTACCTCTTCCGATCTGATCAAGCATGAGGCTAATGAAGTATTGGTCCATTACCGGAGTCCACTCGGTTTTCGAGCTTTCTTTACTCGAGAGAACAACATTTCCACTACTACTCTCACCTACACAACAAAAACCGCATTGTAATCGAATCAAGAAACGCATTGTAACTAAATCAAGAATGCATTGTAATCAAAACCAAGAAGAGCATGAACACACCAATGTTGACTCCATGGACCTCATCATCAACCTCCAAATCATGGCTTGACCTACTGTATCTCCCATCAGCAACAGTATACCCATAGATCAAGCACAAATCGTTAAAATTCAAAACCGGTTTTGTCTTGTACACACGTGCCTCAGGATGAGCCTGTGAAAATCACAATTATACATCAAATTTCAACTAAAATGTAGAAAGCTGATTTCAGTTTTGGTGAAATCAACAAAAAACCTTGAGGTAAGAGCTCCACAGGCTCTCATCTGCAAGAACCATTTGATGAGTCTGGTCCCAAGAGAAGCCACCACCATGATCAAGTAGGCTCTTCACGTCGTTGTACTGCTTCCACAGGTTCGTGTACCGGCTCTTCAGCACGTCCTTGTCGTACTGCGACCCGAATTTGGAATTGAAGACGCCGAGCATCTCGTTCCACGCCTGCTTGTTGAACGTGTGTCCCGTTCGATTGCCTCTGTGCAAATGCTCCAGCATTAGATCTATGAAGAATCGCTCCATCGTTGGGGTCCAGTACGTTCTCGTCCGGTCATTGCAAGTGGTTTGACCACTCATTTCGCTTTTTCCTCTGAGTCAAAAACCAAAGCTCTTCTCAGAGATTCGGAACAAGTATCAGTAAGTGTACACAGAATCGGAAGAAGAAGAAGGCGTTGAGAGTGAGAATCAGTACCAGTGTGTGTATATATATATAGGTAGCGGTTAGAGTTGCGCGCGGCGGAGAGAGATGGAGATTGGGCGGAGTTTGGGAGAGAGATTAACCCTAATCCCGAATTATTTCTGTTTGGCTCTCTCTCTCTACTCTTTTCTTCTCTCTGCTTTTTAATCTATCACCTTCTACATATTTGGGCTTAGCCTTTCGTTCTCGACCTTATGGGTGTCAAACTAAAAACAGATTTTGAGCAAGAAATTTTGGTCTTTTTAGCTTAAAAATTACCATTTCAAAATTTGTTTATTAGAAAAACAAAGAAAATAGAATATGTGAGGATTTTGTCAAAAAAAAAAAATAGAAGGATTTTATTATATATGGCTTGATGTTTTAAATTTACTAATTAGCAAGCAAAGCATTTGCTTGCAACCTTTTAAGTTACGTAAAATTTCGGCTCTTATTTTATAAATATATTGTAGGTGAGTTGATTATCCACTCTAATATTAAGAGGTATGTCATATGTGTAATTATACTTTGCAACTCTAATTTTTTTCTACTTTTTTTCTGTATGAATTCATAGGTGCAAATATGTTTTTGGTTTGCAGCCCATAAATCTTTAAGGCCGGCTCTGATCGTAATACATATTTTATTATAAACTTATGTACATGTATGCATATTTTAGTTTTTATATAGAGTATACATACTGTCTTTGATCATTTTTAGGTTCTTTTAAGGTATGAATAAGTGGGTTTGAGTGGGTTTTGTAAATGGGTTTGGTCTTTGTGTTAGTTAGGAGGTCAAGTGTCGCAGTTGAGTGTTGTTTTGTGGGGAGCTAAGAGCTGGAGGCACGATGGACTGAACTCTGACCGTGTTGAGCTTGTGTGGGCTGGGTTAGACGGACCTTCTTATACTTCATGTAATTTGAGATCCAACTATTAAATCATCCTCAAATCGCATTGGTGTGAAAGATAATAAGTCATCATATCTTGTATCCAATTATAAGTTTGATCAAGTAGTGCAGAAATTTATATTTAATGTTGAACTTTTGCCTCTCGCATACTATCAGAGAATCTTTCCTGAAACATAAAACTCATTTCTTTCTTCTTTGTCTCATTTTTTTTTCTTCTTCTTCTTTCCAAAGTTATCGTTAAACAATGTCCATCTTTGATGAGTCTGCATCAAAGGGAACAGCTTCATCCAAGGATAAGAAATCTACGATTACTCATTATTCCTTGTATACATCCGAAAACTCTGGTGCATTAATAACGTTGGTGACGTTAACCGGTGAAAATTATAATGAATGGTCCACGGAGATGCTAAACGCACTCCAAGCCACACGTAAGATATGGTTCATCGATGGTATGATCCCTAAACTTGTGTTTGATGATCCAAATCTTGAGCTTTGGCTATCGATCAATTCCATGATCGTAAGATGGATTCGCTCCTCCATACAGTCTCGCATTAGATCAACTATAACCTTCATATTCGATTCCTATAAGATATGGGAAAACCTAAAGAAGCGTTTCTTGGTGGGAAACAAAGTTCAAGTTCATCATCTCAAAGCTCAAATCACATCATGTCGCCAAGAAGATCAAAGCGTTCTGCAATATTTTGGGCTTTTATCACCTATGTGGGAGAAGCTCAATATATACAAGCCATTTCATAACTGTTCATGTGGAAATTTGTCGAAAATAGCTGAACGTGAGGAGGAAAAGACTCACCAATTCATCAAAGGTTTAGACGACGCTCGTTTTGGAAGTCTCTGCACAAGCATCATTGGTTCAGATTCGTACGATCTGGGAGAAATATAAGCGAAAGTTATTCGCAAAGAACAGAGGATAAATTCAATAAGGGATTGTGAGCATCAACAGTCCGCCGTGGGGTTTGCTAAACGATCAACGGAACAGACTTCTTCAAACCTAGCCCGATCTAAAAGCGTTCAGTGTTCCAATTGCAGTCGTTCAAGCCATGAGAAAAAAAAATTGCTGGCAGTTAGTGGGATTTCTGAATTGGTGAGAAGATTGAAATCAGAACAATGGCAGTAGAATCAGAGGAGGCAAAGGTACAAACAGAAGAGGTCACACAAACAATGGGGGTCATGGTCGAGATAATAGCTGAGGTTTTGCAACAGATTATAACGACACAAGTCGTAACAACAAGGGATTGGGAAATCAGGTGTAGAATGTGCATGCTATAACATCCAACTCATCCATCTTTCCCGAGTTCACACAAGAGCAATGGAAAGCCTTATCTCAGCTAATACATGAGAAGACTAATGTCAGATCTGACAAGCTTTCCGGTAAGAGTAAACATGTTGACCTTATTTAGCGATTTAGGAGTTATAACATTATCAGATAGAATCACTCTAAATGATGTTCTTTTTGTCCCAAATCTCAACTGCTTGTTAATTTCAGTCTCTAAGCTACTGAGGCAATCAAGTTGTTATGCTTTACTAACAGATACCTTATGTGTTTTACAAGACTGTTTCACGAGGACTTTGATTAGAGCCGGTGAAGAGCATGATGGGGTTTACTATTTTAAGGATGTCATGGCAACAAGTATTCAGCAGGCTTCAATTTCAGTAGATCAGAGTTTGTGGCATCAATGTTTAGGGCATCCTTCGTTTTCAAGAGTTTCACATTTACCAGTTTTTTCTACTTTATTGAATAAAACTGCTGTCCCTAGTCCTTGTGATATATGTTTTAGGGCAAAACAGACAAGAGAAGTTTTTCATGATAGTTTGAATAAGCAAATAAGTGTTTTTTTTTTATTATTCACTATGATGTTTGGGGACCATATCGCATTTTGGCTTCATGTGGAGCAGTATATTTTCTTACAAAAGTTGATGACTTTTCAAGAGCAGTGTGGACGTATTTGGTACTTGCAAAATCAGAAGTTAGTCGTGTGTTACAAAATTTCTTCTCAATGAATGAGAAACGGTTTGACAAATCAGTAAAAACAGCGAGGAGTGACAATGGTACATAATTTATGTGCTTGTCTAAGTACTTTTGTGACCATGGAATGGTTCACCAAACCTCTTGCGTAGCGACTCCGCAACAAAACGGCCAGGTTAAAAGAACCCCCCCCCCCCCCCCCCCCCCCCCCCCCCCCCCCCCTCTACAATGTGATCACGATATGAACTCTTGTTAGATAAGAAATCTGAGTATGCTGTCTTACAGGTTTTGGAAGTCTATATCACGCTCATATGCAGGCCAGAGATAAGGATCAATTCAGCTCGTGAAGCCGGTGATGTATATTTGTTGGTTACCTCTTTGGCAAAAAGGATTGGAAACTCTTTTGACTTAGACAAAGGAGAGTTCTTTGTTTCCCATGATGTGGTGTTCCAAGAACATGAATTCCTCTACGCCTCTTTGTCTACATCTGCAAGTTCTCAGACGAAGCAGCTTTCCGCGCCCTCTGATCACTACGAAGATAACGATTGGCTCATTGAGCCCATACCACGTTTAGATGAAAGGGGGAGCATGATTGCTCCTAATACATCAGATACTCCTAGTGAGAATACTGACACTTCGGCGGACACTACACAGGCTGAAGCCCCGGATATTCTTGTTACGTCAGAATCACCATCGCCTTGTGCATCTCCCTCGTCACCTAACCCTAGCACATCATCCTCGTCATCTTCCCCGTGCGACAGTCCTGATTCACAAGATGAACTAGACACAGATAATGGCGTCATCATTCCTATAGAAATTAAGCAAACACTTACAAGTTAAAAAAATTCCAACAAAAATCAACGACTATGTTGTCTACCATGTAATCTGCAATAATAAACCTCTTCTCACTTTACGCTCTTCATCTTTAGGGTCCTCCAAAACAGTCCACGGTAACACTTTGTATCCTTTAGTCAATTATGTTTCTGACATGATTTACTTGGAATCACACAAAGTTTTCTTGGCAGATGTAACAGCTAATACAGAACCATATTCATATGCTGTTGTAAAGTTTGACGTATGGAGGGGTGCTGTGAAGAATGAGGTTATCGCATTGGAAGATAAACATACGTGATATTCAACCACTCTCGCCTGGAAAAGTGACCATGCAAATGAGTTTTCCGGTGAAGTTTAATGCGGATGGCACTCTTGAGAGACACAAAGCACGACTACTGGTGTTGGGAAATAGACAAATAGAGGGGGAGGACTTTGACGAAATGTTCGCACCAGTTGCAAAGATGGCAACGGTCCACAGTTTACTGAAGTTAGTTGCGTCAAAAGGGTGGGAGGTTCATCAAATGGATGGTGACAATGCTTTCTTGCTTGGAGATCTTGGGGAAGAGGTTTACATGAAGTTGCCACCTGGATTCACACATTCGGATCCTACTAAGGTTTATCGACTCTGAAAGTCTTTGTATGGGCATTGTCAAGCTCCTTAATTCTGGTTCCAAAAGCTAACAGCAGCCATGTTATAGTTTGGGTTCATTGAATCCTACTCAAACTACTCCTTTTTCATTTACACATCGGGTGTTATTAAGTTGCACGTTTTAGTGTACATTGATGATCTTGTCATTTTTGGAAATAATGGAGCTGTTTTGGAAAATTGTAAAGCTTATCTGTCTGAGTGCTTTAAGATGAAGAATCTTGGGAAGTTAAAATACTTCTTGGGCATAAGAATTTTTCTTTCACAACACAAATATGCACTAAACATTATTGCAGAAGCCAGACTCCTTGGTTGTAAACTGGCATTTACCCCAATCAAACAAAACCATAAGTTAGCATCTGATGATGGTCTTGTCTTTCTGGAATGATATAAGATCAAGAGGGTATGATCTTATAATGCTTGGGTGAATGGGTGGAAGCAAGCAGCTGGACTGAAGTCTCTTTCTACTTGCTCAAGAGATGAGGAAGTGGATGGTTATGAGATCAATCTGGACTCAAGTCTTTTTCAGGAAGGATTGGTGGATGGAA